GGACTCATAGTGGTCCTGCTATTTTCAGCCTCCCCATTGCTGGGATTACAGACATGCACCACTGTGCCTGGTTTTGGTAGCTGGCTCAGGGCCACCCCAGGGCGGGGCTGGTGCAATGCCAGGGATTGAACTGGGGTCCTTGTGCTTGGCTAAGCAGGTGCTTAGTCCATTGAGCTATCTCACTGGCCCTTCCTTTGCATTTTTCAAGGTCCTAGCTCCCACCCACCTAGGTTCTTTGAAGATAAGAGTACTGGCCTATATTACCCAGTGGGAAAATAAGACAGTGGGTGAGTCACGTGAGCCAGCTGGGTAGGGAATGTGCATAGCTCTTCCAGAATCATTTACATAGTGAGAGGAAGAGAAAACCTGAAAGACTAGAAGAGAGTGAGCATTTGGGCCTTGAGTCAAATCTGGCATCTCATGTCTGTTCTGTGCCCATATCAGACTGTCATTGGTATCATTAATAGCAACTCATAAAATCCATTTTACTGGGCTGGAGGTGTAGCTCAGAGGCCCTGGGTATGATCCACAGCACCACAGTTCCAATCTTCTGGGGGATATTTTCCTAAACTTTTCTTTCCTTTTTTTTTTTTTTTTTTCTTCAATACTGGGGACTGAACCCAGAGCCACTGAGCCACATCCCCAGCTCTTTTTATCTTTTTTTTTTCGTCTTTTTTTTTTTTCCGGAACCGGAAATTGAACTCAGGCCCTTGCGCTTGCCAGGGAAGTGCTTATTCCACTGAGCCATCTCCCTAGCTCCTCTTTTTTTTTTTTTTTTAATATTTATTTATTTATTTTGTGTGTGTGTGGCCAGCTCAGCCCACCAGGGGGTGGGGCTGGCTGGCATGTGGTGCTGGGGGATTGAACCGTGGTCCCTGTGCTTTGTTTAGCTTAGCTTGTTCTAAGTAGGTGCTTTAGACCACTGAGCCATCTCACCAGCCCCCCAGCCCCTCTTTTGAGACAAGATCTTGCTAAATTGCCCAGGTTGGCCTCAAACTTTATGATCTTTCTGCTCAGCTGCTCAAGTAGCTGGAATTATATGCATGTGCCATTGTACTCAACTTCTTTTGTCTTTTTCTTTTGTTTCTGAGATAGGGTCTCACTATGCAGAGAAGGATTGTTTTTTTTTTGGTTAGCTCAGGCTGCCTTAAGGGCGGGTCATGTGCACCATGTGGAGGTGGGGATCAAACCATGGTCTCTTGCACCTGACTGACTTTGCATAAGCATGCGCTTTAATCAACTAAGCTAACCAGCAAGCCCCCAAAAATTGGAGAAGGTTTTTTTTGGCTAGTTCAGGCTGCCTTAAGGGCGGGTCTGGTGCAGCTTGTGGACCAGACCATGGTCTGCTGCACCTGAATGCATTTGCCCAAGTGGCACTTTCAACAACTGAGCTATGCAGCAAGCCCCGGGTCTCACTATGTGGAATCTCACAAAATATTCCAGGCTGGCCTTAAACTCACTATGTACCCCAAGTTGGCCTGCCTCAGCCTACCAAATGCTAGGATTACAGGTGTGAGCCACCATGGCAGGTTTTGCTTGTTTGTCAACTTCTAGCCTATCTTTATAACCTCTATTTTCTAGCAATGATCAAAATAATAGGCATTTTGGTAATGATTTGTAAAGCACTTTATTTTTTTATTTTAAATTTTTTTTTTTGCAGAACCAGGGATTGAACTCAGGCCCTTGCACTTGCCAGACAAGCACTTACTCTACTGAGCTATCTCCCTGGCCACTGTACAGCACTTTAAAATATCCAATCTTCATAGCAACTGAGAAGTAATTCTTCTCAGCACCATTTTTGAGATGAAGAACTAGGGTGAGAGAAACTGAATGATCTTGTCAAAAATATACACAGCTGGAGTTTAAGAGACTTTCCTCAAACTCCTGTTCAATTGATTCCAAATTCTTTGCTATTTCTACCAAACCACTGTCCCTCTATTCAGATCTTAAAGCTGGAGCTTACAGAGAACCATAATTAAACGTTTTTAAGAACCTTAATTCTGAAATGGCCATGATGGTACACGCCTATCATCCCAGCTCTGGGGATGCTAAAGTAGGATGATCACCTTGAATTTGAGGCCAGTCTTTGCTACATGGTGAATTCAAGGCCAGCCTGGCATACTTAGTGAGATCCTGTCTCAAACAAACAAATAAACAAATAAGTAAAGAATCATAATTTTGGGATACTAACCTGTAGGAAAATGTCCCCCAAAGAAGACATTGAATAGCTCTTCTGGTGTGATGTCAGCTTCAAAGTCCCTGTAATAATTATAAGGTCTGGCTCGAGGTGCGGTGACAGTAACCTGTTCATCTCCGTATTCATCATAGCGGAGTCTCTTGTCAGGATTGCTCAGGACGGCAAAAGCATTTCCTATTGCTGCAACCAACAACAAGGAGGTGAGCAGAGCCTCTGCTGTGGCTGAGAGGGTCACAGCAGCAGAGGAGGGACCAGAGCCACTGATGCTGCATAACACCGCAGGGGCCCAGAGAGAGAAGCTTAGGCCTGCAAAGCCTCCAAAAGTGTTTGCCCTTGAGACTGCCCATGCTCCAGTTTGGAAAGCAAGAAACAGCACTATAATCAGACAAACTAAAAATACTCCTGAGGTGAGAATTAACTTCTAATCAAGAGTTCTTCATTTAGCTGTCCTGGGACACCTCCACACTCCCCCTAAGTTCAGGTAGCTAATCACTAATTCTCAGACATGCTGCGGAAATGTCCTCTATCTGGCCAGCATGTTCATCCATCAGAGATGGTAGAGCACTTGGCTAGTGAGTGTGGGCCTCCAGCACTTGAGGGGCTGAGGCAGGAGGATCACAGTGAGTTCAAGGCCAGGCTGCACTACACAGTAAGACCCTATCATAAACAAACAAACAAACAAACAAACAAATTGATGGGAATGTAGCTTAATGGTAAAGCACTTGCTTAGCATGGATGAGGTCCTGGGTTCAATACCCAGTACCACAAAAATACATGTATTTCCATGAAAATATCATGGAAATCAGTGGAAAAGATTTGATCTATAACTGTATTTATGTTCTTTACGTACAACTTTTCTTATGAACATATTAATAATAAAGGGTTTATGGCCAGGCAAGTGTACACCTGTCAGCCCAGCACTTTGGAGGCCAAGACCAGTCTGAATTATACAGGAAGATCCTATCTCAAAAACAAAATAAAAAGTCTGACAAGGATAAAACTGTATGTATGGCCTTTATATACCAACTTGCTGTCACCAACTATCACAAGGACAGAATTAAATGTCACTTGAGGAGCAGACCTTTAAAAGCATCTGTTGCTCCCGGAGCACAGTTCTTATCAGGGTGAAATTTCAGGGCCAGTTTTCTGTAAGCTTTCTTAAGTTCCTCATCACTGGCATTTCGGGCAACTCCTAGAATTTCATAGTAACTTCTGCACTTCTTGATCCTAAAGAAAAAAGAAAAAAAATTAGATTTATGCCCATAAAAGCCCCTTTTACAGTTAACTACAAAATAATACACTGGTCCTCCCTCCAATGTGTGAGATCCAAACAAACTGAAAACAAATTGAGTGAACCCATTCCCGAAACTTTCCAGTCCTCATCTAGCTTTTTCATATTGCATGGTTATGCTTTGTGTAGTTGTCCCCTCAAAGCTTCTTGTAGTCCTGGGGCAGCTTCTGGAGTTCTGATCAATCATTGTAGGTGTGGGTGCTGCACCTGCCCTGGGGCGGGTAATTTGCATTACAATGTAAGGGGCAGAGAGGCAGGCTGGCTGCCTGAGCTGCTGCCACTCCCTTTGCGCTCTGCTCTAGGTGCCAGTTGAAAGGTTGCTTTCTGCCTTGGAGCCAGCTGAGTATGGACTGAAACTTCCAGTAACTGTGAGCTAAATAAACCTTTCCTTCCTTTTCACTTTGGGTGTCAGGAATTTGTCCCAGCATTGAGAGAAAAGTAACTGAGACATGGGGATTCCACTCAGGACCTTTGCAGTGGGCTACATCCCTAGTACTTTTTTTTTTTTTTTTTTATCTCCAGTACTTTTAATTTCTTTTTTGAAACATGTGTACACCACTATATCTCTCTGCATTTCAATAATTTCTTATTTGGTACAGGGTTTTGCTATGCAGCTTGGACCCATAATGATCGTCCTGTCTCAGCCTGTAATCTAGCACTGGGATTACAGGTATGCGCCACCACACTCAGTTTCGGGGCTGGCATGGTGGGCCCACAACCAGTTCCAGGGTTCCAGGGCCAGCACAGCATGCAGTACTGGGAATCAAACCCGGGTCCTTGCACTTGCCAGACAGGTGCTCAGACCACCACGCTTTCTCCTCAGCACTGTATTTTAATAGTTTTTAAGAATATAAAAGACTTCTGAAGCTGGATGTGGTGGTGTATACCTGTAATCCCAGCACCTGGAAGGCTAAGAAAGGAGGAAAGTTCACCTACACAGGGCAATTTAGCAAGATCCTATTTCAAAATAAAAAGTGATGAGGATATAGCTCAGTGGTAAAGTGCTCAGGGTTTAATCCCTAGTACCATAAAAATAATTAAATATTTTTTGGGGGACCCACTTGGGACCCCTTCTGTCTCTCTTAGATGCTTTCTTTACCCTAATATATATTTTCTGCTCTTTAAAAAAACAGGTTTTAAATTCCTTATAACCCTGAAGGGAGCTTCTATTTATGTGAGTTATATCTACTGAGACAGTATTTTGGGGCCGGAGAGATGGCTCAGTGGAATAAGCGCTTCCCTGGCAAGCATAAGGGCCTGAGTTCAATCCCTGGTTCCGCAAAAAAAAAAAAAAAAAAAAAAAAAAAAAAAAAAAAAAAAAAGCAGGTATTTTTTTTGGTTTGTTTTTATTTTTTTTTGAGACAGGGTTTTGGTTTATAGTTCAGGCTAGCCTTGAACTCACTTTATAGTGTTGCTCAGACTCTCAGTAATCCTCCTGCCTCACCCAGCTGAGTGCTGGGATTACTGGTGTGTACCACTGAGCCCAGCTGAATAGTTTTTACTATACTAGAAATGAAAACAAAAAGTATATCACATGGCCTTTCAAACATTCCACTGTATAATCATGAGAAAATGAGAGAGGAAAAGGCAAGTGGCACATTTGTATTATTCTGAAAATAGTCTTTCTTTCTTTTTAGTACTGGGGATTGAACCCAGGGCTTTCTCTCTTTTTTCCCCCCCCTGTATTTTAGGGGAGGGTCTCCAGGGTGTTCAGGGTCTCACTACTAGATCGGATTAATAGTGATTCTCCTGTTTATAGCCTCTCAAGTACTGGGATTACAGGTGGGTGCCACCATGCCCAGTCTCAATTGCTGGCTCAGCACGCCCCGGGGGCAGGGCCCACACAGCAGGCCTGGGGATCCAACCTCAGGTCCCTGCGCCTGCCTTCAGGGGCTTTAGTCTGCTGAGCTATTTGGTTGGCCCCTTTCTCATTTTTTAAGACTTGGTGGACTATAACATGAACACCTCAGTCAAAATGCCTTCATTTGAGAAAAAAAATGGAAATGAAGCTTTCGTAAATAAGGAAGGGAAGAAGAGCTGAAGGGTAGACAGGAGAATAGGGGAGAAAAAGAATTAAAATATAACATGTACAAATACAAATTTCCTGTGGTGGGCCAGGTGTGGTGCTAATCCCAGGACACAGGAGACTGAGGCGGGAGGATTGCTGAGAGTTTAAGGCCAGCCTCGGCTACATAATGAGTTTAAGGCCAGCCTGAACCCTGTCTCAAAAACACCAAAATTAACTTTTTAAAAACTTACCTATGGGGCTGGTGAGATGGCTCAGTGGTCTAAAGCACCTACTTAGAACAAGCTTAGCAAAGCACAGGGACCGCGGTTCAATTCCCCAGCACCACATGCCAGCCAGCCCCAACCCCTGGTGGGCTGAGCTGGCCACACACACACACACACACACACATAAATAAAATTTAAAAAAAAAAAACTTACCTATGATGAATATGATCATTATATATATATGTAAAATGTACCAATACATTTTTAATTTTATTTATTTATTTATTTATTTATGTATGTGTGTGTGTGTGTGTGTGTGTGTGTGTGTGTGGCCAGCTACAGCCCACCAGGGGGCGGGGCTGGCTGGCACGTGGTGCTGGGGGACTGAACCGCGGTCCCTGTGCTTTTGCTAAGCTTGTTCCAAGTAGGTGCCCTAGACCACTGAGCCATCTCACCAGCCCCACATTTTTAATTTTAAAAAAATAGAGATGCTTTCAAAGGCCACGGCTAGCTAATCTAGGCAATACTGGAAAAAAAAATGCCTCAGTCTGGATTTGTTCATGCTGTATACTTGACCTCTATACCTTAGTATTATCTTCTAAATGGGCTAATTATTATACCTATATTCCAGAATTAATGTTATAATTAATGTAATCACTATCTACTCAAATATGTACTAGTAACAATAAAAATATGGTATGATTAAATAAAGTACCTATCAAAAAGTACTTGATAGCAACTATCACTAAACAAATATTAGTGGCTTGGTGCCATGATACACACTCCTAGCTATTCAGGAGGCTGAGGCAGGAAAATCAAAAGTTTGAGATTAGTTGGGCCACTTAGCAAGGCTCTGTCTCAAAAATAAAAGGGCTATGGATACATAGCTCAGCATTAGTGGGCTTGCCTAGAATGCACTAGGCCCTGGGTTCAACTCCTAGTAAATAGATAAATAATAAATAAATAAATCTTTACCTACTTTAGCAATACATATCTACTTTTTTTTTTTTTTTTGGTGATAGGGTTTCACTATGCAGTTCAGGTTGGCCTTGAACTCACTTTGCAGCCCAGGCTGACCTTGAACTTGCAGTGATCCTCCTGCCTCAGCCTCCATAGTGCTGGGATTACAGATGTGGGTCACCATGTCTGGATCTACCTTAATCTTTTAAAAGTGGCTGTAAGTCAGTAACACAGGCTGAATTATAATGCAAGTTCTAGGGCTAGGGATACAGCTCAGTGGCACAGCACCTGCCTTGAAGAACAAGGTCCTGAGTTTGAATCCTCTACCAAAAAAAAAAAAAAAGCAGGATCTAAATGAAGCAGAACTTGTCCTAAAGAGTTTTCTAATTCCAACTCTGTTTCTACAGCACATATTTACTTGTAAATGACCCCATTCTCTCTTGCCCTCTTAAGTCTGTTTTATGAGTGATTTATAGAGAAAGAATTCACGTGCCATAAAGTTACGTTTCAAAAATGTACAATTGGGCTGGTGAGATGGCTCAGTGGTCTAAAGCACCTACCTAGAACAAGCTAAGCTAAAGCACAGAGACCGCAGTTCAATCCCCAGCACCACATGCCAGCCAGCCCCGCCCCCTTGTGGGCTGAGCTGGCCCCCCCCACCCCCCACCCCCACACAAATAAATAAAATTTAAAAAAAAAAAAAAAAAAACCCAAAAATGTACAATTCATGGGGCTGGGGAGATGGCTCAGTGGAATAAGCGTTTCCCTGGCAAGCGCAAGGACCTGAGTTCAATCCCCGGTTCCGCCAAAAAAAAAAAGAAAGCACAATTCAGGTTTTGTTTGAGGGATTCTATTTAGGGCTGTATAGCCATTAGTACTATTTAATTTCAGAATATTTTCTGCCAGACATGGTGGTGCATCAGGTTTTGTTTGAGGGATTCTATTTAGGGCTGTATAGCCATTAGTACTATTTAATTTCAGAATATTTTCTGCCAGACATGGTGGTGCATGCCCATAATCCTACCACTTAGAAGGCTGAGGCAAGAGGATCACTAGAAGTTCAAGGCTAGTCTGAACTATATAGCAAGACTATCTCAAAGGCCAGCAATATAGTTCAACAGACTACGTGCTTGCTTAGGTAAGCACAGGAGCCAGGGTTTGATCCCTGGCATGGCATGCCGCGCTGCCCCACCCCTGGGCACACTGAGTGGTGATGGAGTCCAGGCGTGGTGGCGCATGCCTGTAATCACAGCACTAGGGAGACACAAATCAGGAGGATCACTACGAGTCCAAGCTTATAGTGAGACCCTGCACACACACACACACACACACACACACACACACACACAAAGACTGTCTCAAAAAAACAAATAAGGGCTAGTCAGATAGCTCAGTGGACTAAGCACCTGCTTAGGCAAGTGCAGGGACCAGGTGCCACAAGCCATCCCAGCCCTGCCCCTGGAGCATGCTAAGTACACCCTCCCCCTCTCAGATGGCGTGGTGGCGCCTGCCTGTAATCTCAGTACTGGGGTGGCTGAGAACAGGTGGATCACGATGAGTGCAAGCTGCACAGTGAGACCCTGCACCAAATAACTTAAAAAAAAGAATTTCATCACCACACAAATAAACCCATACTCATTAGCTATTATTCTTATTTCCTCTCCTCTAGCCTCTGTCAACCACTAATCTACTTCTGTTTCTACATACTTGTTTATTCTGATTATTTCATGTAAAAGGAATTATATCATATGTGACCTTTTGTGTCTAGCTTCATTCACCTGGCATGTTTTGGAGGTTCATACATATTGCAGTATGTAATAGTACTTCATTCTTTTTCTTTACCAAATATTTCTTTTGTTTATAGCAAACTACTGGGATTATACCCAGGACATTGCCCATGCTAGGCAAGTGCTTTACTACCCAGGTACATCCCAGTCCTTGGCATTTTATTTTGAGACTGGGTCTTGTTAAGTTGCCTGGGCTGACCTCATACATGAGGTCCTCTTGCCTCAGCCTACCATGTAGCTGGGATTTTAGGTATGTGTCATCATGTGCTGTTGCTTGTGGAAAGTTTTTAAATTATTAATTCAATCTCTGTATTTGTTGTAGGTCTATTCAAATTTTCCAACTTTTTTCTTGAGCCAGTTTCAAGTTTATATCTTTTTAAAAAATTTATGTATTTGGTACAGGGTCTCTACACAGCTCGGACTCCTAATGATCCTCTTGTTTTTAGCCTCCCAGCACTGGGATTATAGGTGTGCGCCACCTGCCTGGACAGATTCGCTAGCTCAGCGTGCCCTGGGGTCAGGGCCAGTGCAGCATGCTGGACCAGGGATTGAACCCTGGTCCCTGCACTTGCCAAAGCAGGCGCTTAGTCCACTGAGCTATCTCACCAACCCTATTTTTCCTATATTGTTTCATTTATTTTTATTCTATATTATTTTCTTTATCCTGCTTATATAAGTTTAATTTGTTCTTTGTGTGTGTGCGTGTGCGTGCGCGTGTGTGTGTGTGTGTGTGTGTGTGTGTGTGTGGAGAGGAGCTACTACTGGGAATTGAAAACAGGATCTTCTCATTAAAATACATCCCTATGGACTAGGGAGATAGCTTGGCAGTCTAAGCACCTTGCTGGCAAGCACAAGGACCGAAGCTTGATCCCTGGTACCACATACCGTGCTGGTCCCAGAATCGCCATGCCGGCCACTAAAACTGAGCGTGGTGGCATAGGCTTGAAATCCCAGTGCTGGGGAGGCTGAGGCAGGAGGATCACTAGGAGTCTGAGCTGCATAGTGAGACCCTGTACCAAACTAACTGATTAATTAATAATTAAAAAAATTAAAACACATCCCTAGCTCTTTTTTTTTTTTTTTTTTTGTGGAACCAGGGATTGAACTCAGGCCCTTGTGCTTGCCAGACAAGCGCTTATTCTACTGAGCTATCTCCCTGGCCCCCCTAGCTCTTTTTTTTACTTGTTGACAAAGTCTAAGTCACTCAGGATGAGCTGCAACTTGCAAACCTCTTGCCTCAGCCTCCCAGAACAGTAAGATTGTAGGCATGTGCTGTTATGCTCAACTTTTTTCTAGTTTCTTAAGAGTAGGTCACTGACTTGAGGTTAATTTTTAATTAGCATTTATAACAATAAATTTGCTTGTGGGTACCTCTCTAGCTGTATCCTGTATTTTGATATGTTGTATTTTCATTTTCATTCATTTTAAGGCATTTCTAATTTTCTATGTAATTTCTTTTATGACCTATAGTGTTTCAAGAATTGTGGAATTTAGGGCCGGGGAGATGGCTCAGTAGGATAAGTGCTTGACAGGCAAACGCCAGGATCTGAGTTCAATCCCCAGTTCCACAAAAAAAAAAAAGAATTGTGGAATTTATTTCCACTACTTGTGAAGCTGGCCTCGAACTCACAGTGATTCTCCTGCCTCAGACTCCTGAGTGCTGGGATTACAGGAGTGCACCATGGTGTGCAGCTGCATGATTTTAATATTTTAAAATTTATGGAGGTTCATTTTATGGCCTAAGATATGGTCTATCCCAGAGAATGTTCCATGTATCCTTAAAACAAATATGGAGCATGGTTACCCCATGGCCCCACTGAGAGGTGGCTGCCAGCTGGTGCTGCTGTTCAGCAGAAAGAGGAAATCAGGAAAGGACTTTGTGACTGAGACACTGCAGAGCAGGTGTCTGTGGGGTGGGGAAAAGTGGAAAGGGCACCCTGAATCCCACTGCTCGAGGTGTGTGCTTGTGTGTGAAGGAGTGAGCCGTGGGTCCGTGGGCCTCCGCTGGTGGTGGTCCAGGAGGATGGCGCAAGGTGAGGGGAAGGATTATCACATTCCCCCTCAGAGGACCAGGCAACCACCTCTGCTAAATGGTAATATGTAGGTCTGTCTCCACGAGGCATTGTAACAGTTACTGCCAAGGCTCTTTGTGCTGTTCCTGTTCTCACTAGCATTGCCAGGTAACTGTTATGGATAAGTAAACTGAGGCAGAGGTAAAGGATTCTTTAGAAACACACTCTGAATGTGTCTGATATCAAACATAGGATATGTATTACACACTGTCTGCATGATTCCTTTTAATCTCACAATTATTGTGTAGTACTAGCATCTCTATCTCACAGCTGAAAAAGGCATTGAAAACTTAAAAACAAACAAAATGCTAAGGATTCAAATTCAGCTTTGTAGACTCCTGCATGGTAGTACATACTTGGAATGCCAGCACTCTCCGAGGTTGTGGCAGGAGGACCACAAATTTGAGCCTAGCCTGGGCAATTTAGTGATACAGCAAGACTGTCTCAAAAAATAAAAGTAAAATAAATAAATAAAAGTAAAGGATGTAGCTCAGTGTGAAGGTTCTGGGTTCAATCTACAATATCAGAAAAAAATAAAAAAGAAAAAAAGAAAGAATACGCACCCCATGGCCATTGGACAGAATGTTCTATGGATGTGTGTTATGTATTTAGTTGGTTTTCCCTGCTTCTTTTAAAACTGAAACAGGATTATCATCTAGCTCACATTATACCCTAATACTCTACTTCCACCCACTTTTCCCCGACATCAAGAAGCTACAGTGCATGCCTATAACCCCAGTATTCTGGAGGTGGAAGCAAGAGAATTGTTGTGAAATGGAGGCCAGCCTGGGCTACATAGTGAATTCAAGACAAGCCTTAACTACATAGCAAGACCCTATCTCAAAAAAAAAAAAAAAAAGTTACAGTCCTTCAATAATGACAACAGGAACAGCAGCAGCAACAGCCTTCAGTACTTACACAACACATCCTCTGTGCCAGGCACTCTTCTAGCTTTACATAAAACACTCATTTCATCCCACCACACACTTACCTTTGCACTCCAAGCAGCTGTTCCTCAGTATAAGTGGCGCTGCCCTCACCCTGCCGGGTCTGGTTTCGCTCATTCTCAGACTTCTTTTCCTTCTGTGCCTTCATACAGTCACAGCAACCACAGGGGTCGTCACTCTCAGGAGGTCTGTCTTCCGGATATTTGTTTCTTCTAACTGCATCAATGTAAGCTGTAAAGTAATAGCCCCTCTGTTAGGCCTCCCTTTGACCCTGAAAATCAACTTTGCTCCCTGCCCTTGCTCTACAGACTTCTTGTGGGCAAGAGTAGGTGAGTGCAAAGAACAGGAAGACATGATGCTGACTTTTAAGCATCCATACAAAGCTAAAGAAACTTTTTTCCCAGAAAATATGGGAACCACGTAAGAAAAACTTATAAAAGTCAGAAAGAGGCATGAAGCACAAGTCCATCATACTTACAGTGGTTAGTCAGCAAATAATCTCGTCATAGAGATGGAAAATGTGCCCAGCATGTAATCCTAGCATTTTTGGAAACTGAAGCAGGAAGACTGCAACTCTGAGTCCAGCTTGGGCAATTTAGTGAGACCTTGCCCCAAAATAAAATATAAAAGCCAAACTGTACAACTATAATTCCAGTACTCAGAAGACTAAGCCAGAAGGCTCTCCATGAGTTTGAAGCCAGCCTGGGTATCAAGTGAGTTCAAAGCCAGCCTGAACTATATAATGTGACCCAGTCTCAACAAACAAACAAAAAAATAAAAATAGACTGAGGTTGTGACTGAGAGTGAAGGCCCTGGATTCGATCCCCAGTATCACACAGAAACACATGCAGACACACACACATATGTACACAAGAGGGGGGCTAAAAGAAACATCTGCCCAATAACCTGCCTTTAGTGCAGCCCAGGAAAAAGCCGATATCTCTCTGTTCCATGGTCAGAAGTGACAAACCTCCTACCTGCATTACTTAAATAGAGAAGAGTTTAATTCTTTTAAGCTACCAGCTATAGACCTAACATGCAAAAAGACCCCTGGCTAGACCCAGGAGATGTATGAGTAAGGCCTACTGCTAACCACTAAGAGATTATAGTTTAGTGTGAGAGAATTAAATAAATTATAATCATTGTAGAACTTAGGGAGGGTTTCATGTAATCAAAGACAGCAGAGCACTTATGCCTTGTCTGGAGGATCTGGGAATCTCTTTAGAACCATCTTTTCACTGGGTGTGATGGTGCTCAGGAGGCTGGGGTAGGAAGACTGCCAAGAGTTTGAGGCCAGCCTGGGCTACATAGTGAGTTCACGGTGGTACACACCTGTAATCCCAGCACTCTGGGAGGCTGAGGTATGAAGATTCCAAAGTTTGGGCCCAGCTTTAGCAACTTAGCAAGGCACTGTTTCAAAAGAAAAAATAAAGTGCCTGCCTGGCAAGTGCAAGGTCCCAAGTTTGAACCCCAGTATTTTTTTTTTTTTTTTTCAGAACCAGGGATTGAACTCAGGCCCTTGCACTTGTCAGGGAAGTGCTTATTCTACTGAGCCATGTCCCGGGCCCCTGAGCCCCAATATTGAGGGAAAAAAAAGAAAGAAACGAAAAGAAAAAAGAGAGAAAGAGAAAAGAAAAACTAAAGTGTTGGGGATGTAGCTCAGTGAGAAGGCCCTGGTTTTATTTTCCAGTACTCCAAAATGACATCTTCCTAGCCAGGAATGGTGGCACATACCTGTAATTCCAGCACTTTGGGAGGCTAAGGCAGGAGGACCTTAAGCTCAAGACCAGCCTGGGCAACTCAGCAAGACGCTGTCTTGAAATAAAAAAATTTAAAAAGGGCTGGAGTGTAGTTCAAAGCAAAGGCCTTAAAAAAAAAAAAAAAAAAAAAAAAAAATCCTTCCAATTTAACATCCCTGTGACTACCTATTGCTCCTCGGCACTCGTTCTATAAATCTGCTTGGCTAACTCCCTATCGTTCACAACATCCAATGAAACACTTTCTCAGTGAAGCCTCCTTTGCCACCCAGGCCATGCCTTGCGCTTTATCGGTGCATCCCGCACTTCCCCTCCCCCCCCCCGTGTTCATTCGTCACACTCACTTAATAGAATGACAATTCCATAAGCTTAGAGACCCAAGTTGATTATCAAATCTCTGCTGCAGGATCAGCAAAATGCGGGGCACAAAAAAACGTACTGGATCGATGTTTTTTGCTTAACTGCGGGACGGAAAAAGGCAACCTATCGGTGCTGACGCGGCGGCACGGTCAAGATCACACTGGGACTGAATGTCGGAGGTATAGTGTGGGGGAACCTGCGATAAAGGCCGGAAAGCTAGCTAAGGGAGGTCACAGCACCCCGGTCTAGTCATCTGGGCGCAGCAAAGGCTGGATGGCCACGGGCCCTGGGCGGGGCACCGGCCGGGGCGGGGCTGGGGACTAGAGGCAACAAACTGTCACGGGTGACTGGGCTCCTGGCCGGGGCCCTAGCTCCAGCCAGCGTCCCCAGTTCCGGATCCCGGCATCTCCCCTGGGCATCTCGCCCAGCAACCAGAACCCTGCTCAGGCTTAGCATCTCCCAGGCCTCCATCCTTCACCTCAGGCCCCAGATCTCAGCCATCAAGCGCCTTATCTCTCTAGAATGCTCTCTTGTCCTACCCTCCGTCCAGGTCCTGGTACCTTCAGTCCAGCGCTCCCCGCTGCCCAGTGTGGCCGACATATTGGTTCTCAGCTAGCAGGTCCTCTAAGCCTCCCTTGTGCCCGAGGCGGCAAGAGAAGGGGGCGCTTAGCGCGGGGCACGCCGGTCATTGTAGTTCGGTGCTGTGTGCTGCCGGGTTGCGGGACTACAACTTCCGGCAGGCCTCGCGTGAGGGCCCGTGGAGATGCAGAGTCAGAGGTTAGACCTTTCCAGCGGAAAACGGTGTTGTGGTGCAGTTGAGTGCTGTATTGCTACCGGCTGTTGCCCTGTGGAGTGGGCATAGTGGCTTCTACCCTGCCTCGAATTGAGGACATTCAAGGCGGAGCGAATGAGCATCTTTCCTGGGAAAGGATGCACAAACTGTTGGCTAGGGTTAGGGAGATAGCTCGGCGGTCTAAGCGCCTAGGCACAAGGACCCAGATTCAATTTTACCGTGCCGGCCACGGAAACTGAGGAAACAGCGTCGTGGCGCACGCCTGTAATCCCAGCACTGGGGAGACTGAGACAGGAGGACAACTACGAGTCTGAGCTGCTTAGGGGGAGACTGTATCAATAAAAAACAAAACAAAACAAAACAAAATTGTTGGTTAAAGGTGGGATTACAGGCGTGCACCACCATACCCAGTCTGGGGGCCGGCACTGCAAGTGGGGCCAGGGATCAAAGTTGGGTCCTTGCTCTTACCAGGCAGGTGCTTAGACCGCCGAGCTCTCTTCCCCAGCCCCAGCAATGTCCTTTTAAAATGCCAATTCAGTGTGAAGTCTTTCCTTAGCCTTGGAGATTCAGAGATGGTTTAGGAGATGTCTGTCTTAGCTCTGAGAATATAGAAAGGTAGACCCAGCCACTATGGTGAGAAATACAGCTATTCAGGAGGCTGAAGCAGGAGGGTAGTTAAGGGAACGGGTGGAGAAACAAGGAAGGTCCGACTTGTGAGCCTGCTTTCTGGGTTAGATCCACCTTCTGAGTTAAACATTAGACTATGACCAGGATATCCAGGTCTAAATACGAGGAGGAAAAGTAACCAAGGGGTAATCCGGTGTATACACAGTAAGTCTCTGTTCATGCATCCAATGTTCTTTGGCAACTCCTGGACCACCCCAGCCATAATTACCACATCATCGACTGTGCAGTTTTGAGTCATCCCCTTGGCTTTGGACAACATAACATTTCCTCCAGCGGCCATAAAAGATCAAAAACTCTACTGCCCTCTGGAGGGGCCTAAACCAAGCCATCCATTGGCAGGAGGCAGACCTCAGATCTGCCTCCTCCAACCTTTCAATCCCATCCCAAACCTTATTGTTTAACACCCTCACACCAAACCTTCTTATAGGCCAAGAGCTCCTCTCATTGACCCACTCCTACCCTGTGGGGTGTACTCTCAATTTCAATAACTGTTTGATCTTGCTTCTCAAATCTTTGTTCAGGACATCCAGAAACCTGATAATATGAAGAGCAATTGAACTTAGAAACTTGGGATTAGCAGGGACAAGGTAGCAAGACCCTGACTCAAAGAAATGAATAGAAGGTGAAATATTTACAGGATTAGAGAGCAGCCTAGGTATGGCCACACACATACACATCAGCCTGACTGACTCCTCAGGCATCAGAGAGAAGGAAAGTCCAAGTTTGGGGCCCCTTGAGAGTGCCTAGCTTTACTCTTATTTTTACTGTATCCTGTTGTATTCCAGCATACCTCTGAGACTTTATATTTTCTAGTCCAGTCATTTCCTTAGCATATTTCCTTTTCCCTTTTCCTTTCTTTATTTCTTGTACTGGGAATTAAACTCACAACCTCATGCTTGCTAGGCAGGCACTGTGCTGCTGAGCTATATCCTCACCCTCCCCTTTTTTTCTGAAGGACCAGATCTAAGAAGTTAATAAAATGGCCAGCCACCAAAGCTGATGTGGTGCACAACACCAGCTTTGGTGGCTGGTGTAATCCCAGCTCTAAAGAGGCTGAGACAGGAGGATCGCTAAGAGTCTGAGCTGCATAACAAGACCCTGTACCAAATAAATAAATGTTTTTTAAAATTTTAAAGCAAGTTAATAAAATGGAAATGAGAAACCATTCTTATTGTTCTCTATCCTGGCTTACATACAGTCTAACGAAGAATAACAGCATTTTTTTTAAATTTTTTTACCTCCTGGGCAAGTGGTCACAGTGTCCTCACTGACTGATTTATGCCGTACGGAAAGTTGGTAGGTTAGCATGGCCAAAATCAAGCTTACAAAAGGGCAAAACTACCCAAATAACTATGTAGAAAAAAATTACAGTACTTGAAATTCACTCAGATTTTTCCCAGGAAGACCAAATCAATTATGCTATCACCCAACAACTACTTGGGCTGTCAAGGGAGTCAGGTGTGGGGATATGCAGATACACACTAACTGGGGTTGTGATAGAAGCCAGTTCAAGTTGCCCCTGGATTCATAGCTCTGACATCACCGATGGTCCCCAGGAGAGCTCCAAGAGAGCAAGGCCTCTCAGGCAAAGGTCTGGTTGAGAAGTTAAATGTGGGTAATATTTGGGATTTTACTACAAATCACTGTGTAACCCTAACCAACTGTTTTCTTTTCCTTTGGTTTCAGACTCCTCACCTACAAGCTAAGAAGGTTTTTTTTGGGGGGGGCAGGGTCTCACTATGCAGTTCAGGCTGGCCTTGTACTCTCTTTTGTAGCCCCCAGGCTGGCCTGGAACATGCAGCAATCCTCCTGTCTCAACCTCCTGAGTGCTGGTATTACAGGTGTGCACCACCATGCCCAGAATCATCATCATCATCATCATCATCATCATCATCATCATCATCATCATCATCATCAGTATTTTAAGACAGGGTTTGCTATGTAGTTCAGACTGACCTTGAACTCACAGTGTAGCTCAACTGGCTTCAAACTCACAGCAATATTCCCACCTCAAGCTCTCCAGTGCTGGGATTACAAGCCTGTGCCAACACACCTGGCTAAGAAGATTAGACTAGATTGGTAGTTTGTACTTTGAGGAATCTTTGGGATGGGGTATGACCCTGAGGTAGAGCACTTGCTTAGCATATTCAAGGGCCTGGGATCAATCTTCAGCACTGAAAAAAATTAAAAACAAATTGAAGCATCCTTGATGCTCCATGTGCAGGCGTCCTAAGATCTCATAGAAATGGGAAGAAGGAAGGATGGAGGGAATTTTCTCTCACTTTACCTTTCTTCTATCAAAGCAGCTGTCTCTTTCTGTTCTATATTTTATAGTTAGTGAAAGGGGGGAGAAACACATTTGAAAACTGCCAAGCTGGTTGATCACTAGTGGCTTGTGCCATAGCTGTAACCATTTTTCATGTTTTGGTATTATGAATTAGTAGTGGGTATATAATTAGTACACAGACATGTCTAATGGTTCCCTGTGCCATTATATCTGGTAATCATTACTACAGATAGTACAAGTATAACCCTACTAACAAGGCTAAAATGCTGCTTTCCCCTGCTCCCTATCCCCTAAATACAGCTGCTAATGCTGATGATCTTACTCATCTTTCAAAAGGAGAGGAGGAAACACATGTGAACTGGTATGAGAAGGATCATCCACCACTACTAGATGGAACTTTATCCTCTTAAACTTGAGAGACAAGGGAGTTTCCAAACCACAGAATGAGTAAGATGTCCAGCTCTGGAACCCTGGCCTTGTGCCCAGCTTGCAGTGTGCTTCCAAAAGGCTGGATCCTGAAGGAACCACTGGTGCTCTGTGGCCAAGGGTCAGGAACATCCATTAGGTTACTGTACATACGGAGGAACTTTTTCTGGCTTGGGAAGCATAGACATCTTGCTGTACAAGACAGTCAAGTGAGGTGGTATGTACCTCAGAGTCCAGAGCACAGGCAAGTAGAGATGGCTGAGTGACATGAAGCAGGGGCAGGGAGAGGGGTCCTGGATTGAGAAGAGGCACCATGAATTGTAGGAGCAGAATCCAGGTTCAAGAGCACTGGTGAGGATTTGGGAATCTAGGGTCTATTGAAAAGCACATTTTCCTTTTATCCTCTGAAACCTCGGCCCTCCCTTTTCCTAAGGGACTTGACTCATTTACTCCTAGAATAGTAAAAAATTGGTTTAGAACTGGGGCTTTTTCAGATACTGCCATGCAAATGTACTCTTCAGTTCATTTACACCTTCACTAACAGTTCTGGATGATTTTTTTTTTCTCTGAATGTATCACTTGGATTAACTTAGAACGCCAACCCCTAACACTGAACTCACCTCTATGCCAGTTTTGCTTTTATTCACCAAGCACTTAGCAAAAATGATCCCTACTGAAAAAGTCAGTCTTTGTGCTTTGTAAAAAGTTGAAGCTCTGGGCTCATAGGGTACTGGGTAGAGATGCCAGGGGAAATTAGGCAGGGGCAGGGGAGGGGTTGTGGGGAGAAATAAGGGCAGAGAACTTGGTTTTGCTAAGGCAGTTAGTTCTCAAAGAAAGGAGACAGGTATAGAGAAAGAAGTTTGGAGAGAAGAGAGACTGGTGAAGAGAGCCCCAGTGTTTTCTAGCATTCATACAGAATGTAGTAGGATTAGTCTGGCTTTGGGAAATTAGGTGCTAAGGTGAGGCCACTGGTGCTGGTAGTCAGGTTTCTGTTACTTTTCTCTATTATTGCTTTTTTCCCCCCCAATATGAGGGTAGAACCCAGGGCTTTTGTGCTGAGCCACGACCCTTGCCCTTTTTAGTCTTTATTTGGAGACATGGTCTTTCTGAGTTGATAAGTTGCCCCAAACTGGGTTTGGACTTGTGATTCTTCTGTCCTGAGCCTGCAGAACTTTTAAAACTATTTATTGAACTGCAGTGAATTTTTCCTGATGATAATGAGGTTTAGAGTGTGCCCTATATGACTGATACCTAGAAGAAAGATACAGAGAAAGTGGTCAGTTCTCCTGTCCAGTGAGGCCTGGGTGTCACAGCTGGTTCACTGGGTGCCCTTCCACAAGATGTGAGAAAAACAAGAGGCTGCTGTACCCCTCCCCCAAGCCCGCGACGTCCTCCTCCAACCCCGCCCCCTATTCCTGTTTCAGGACCACGTAAGTCCTGTATAAGAAAAAGAAGGAAGTCATCTTGTAAATGGTCAGCATCCTACTGTCTAGACATCAAGGAAGAGATGTGATCTCAGAGAAGCTGCAAAAGCAGAAGACTGCCCTGGATTTCCTATCAGGGGTAGAGTCTTCTATTTGCATAAATAATAGGATCCTACCACAGAGCCCCTCTAGTATAGATTGCTTTAGCACAGAATTTGGCATTAAGTGAGTTTATCCTCGTGTCCTTCCCAGTGGAGGGACACTGGGAAGTTACCTGGCAACAGGAAAACCAACATGGCTCATGTGATCCTGCACAGTAAGAGACTTGCAGTCTCGAAGGTATTGATACTGGCTCACCCCTCACGCCCACATAGAAATACCTTATGACTAACAGCTGCTGTTTGCAGGATGTGGCCCAGAGTCACAGGGAGAGTTGTGGCCTTGTAGTGGAGACCTCGAGCTACCTGGAGTGAAACCCATGTCCTTGACCAACTTATTCCAGTATGCTGCCAAGCAGCCAAAGTAAATGCCCTTGGCAATTAGAATAATAATTCAAACAGAATCTGGGACTTCTAGACATTGTTACGTCACTTGGAGGGTTCTATCCCAGCAATGGATTTTTGTACTAGAACTGGCTAGTAAAGTCATGTGCCTTTTGCAGGGCGGTTTTTCTAAAATTAACCCAAGCTCATCTCAAACTCAAGACAATTTTCCTGCCTTAGCCTCCCAGTTGCTAGGATTGTGGGTGTGTGCTACCATGCCCAGCTTGCAGTGTGGTTTAGATAAAATACATACTAATGACATGTGTGTGTGTGTGTGTGTGTGTGTGTGTGTGTGAGTGGTATTGAGGGATTGAACCCAAACCCTTATACTGAGCTATATTTCCAGTGCCTTTTTTGTTTTTTAGAGAGAGGGTCTAGTTAAGGAGGCCAATTTAGCTGAAATAAAATGACCAATTTAGCTCTTACTGCAGCCTTCCAGAGTGCCGGGATTACAGGTATGCACCACCATGTCCAGCTACAAATTACTTTTTAGAATATCATGGTTTTGCTACATAGACTGGGTACTTCAGGAAACAGGACTTGAAGAGTCTGAAATTTGCACACTGATGTTTTATTGCTGAATGCTCTTGGGAACAACTGTGAGATGTCAGGAAGGCAGAATTGGGAGGGGGGAGAAATTGAGACAAGTGTCCATGCTTCATCTCTACCCTTTCCCTCACCAGTCAGCATCCAGCCATGCACTTAGTATCCAAACACTTCCCACAGCTGGAAACAAGTGCCTTGGCTTGGAGGCAGGACCTGATGGACAATGAGGTAGGTTTTCTGTTACAAGTACTAACTAGTAGTTTTACTTCCCCAGTGTCTCCACAGTTATTATTATTTCCTTTTACCCTGTAGCTTGTGAGATAGACAAGGCTAGGTAGAGATCATTTTCTTCTGTTTTTGTGTTTTGTCTTTTTGAGACAGAATTTCACTTTGCAGTTTCAGGCTGGCCTTGAGCTCACTTTGTAGCCTCAAGCTGGCCTTGAGTTTACAGAGGTCCTCCAACATCAGCCTCCTAAGTGCTGGGCCTACAGGCATGCCCCTAGCCTATTCTCCTTTAATTTTGTCTTTGTTTGAGACAGTCTTGGTATGTAATTCAGTCTGAATTTGAACTCACTATGTACCCAGGCTGGCCTCAAACTCATACCAATTCTCCTTCCTCAGCCTCCAGACTGCTAGGATTATAGGTATGCACCACTATGCCTGGCATTCCTCTATTAATCCACAGAAGTCCAGACTTTGACATTCCAGAGAATGTCAAACACTTGCCCAGGTTTACTTAGGGCTTGTCTTTAGCTCCCACACACAGTGATCTCTATGGAATAGATTGTGTTCATTTTTTGTTACATCTGAAGTTAACTATAAGAACAAGAAAAAAAAAAAAAAGACAACAAAGGCCATGTACTCTAGCCAGCTTGTTTTACTATTTTTATTTATTCTTTTGATGTTGCAGATTACAGCCAGGTACTCTACCACTGAGCTACACCCCCAGCCCCAGCCCCACTTGAAAAGGAAGAAAATAGTCTTAGAAAGGGAGATGATTTCATCAAAGTCAAACTGCAAGTTTGTGACAATCTATCCCTATTCATGACCAGCTTTCTTTCAACCACAAGCCAGACTTTACTACCTGAGATGTGCTAGTCAGGCAGTGCCAGGCAGGAGCTGCACATGTGGGCCACTTAAATACCCTGCTTTAGAAAATTGTAGGACCTGGTAGGTTTCTTCTGGTTCACTTTAATAGTTTTGTTAGCTGGGCCTGGTGGTGCAAGCCTGTCATCCCAGTGGGAGACTGAGGTAGGAGGATCCTTGCAAATTCAAGGCCCACCTGAACCACATAGTGAGACCCTGTCTCAAAAAAACAAAACACCCAGAGTGCAGGCTTGGCATGTGAGTGAGACCACCTGGGGCCCACTGGATCCTCATTTGATCCAGAGTGCTGGCCCAGCCTGGAACCCTTCAGCAGAACTACCTGCAAAGAGGCTAGAGGCAAGACCCACTCAGCTGATTCAGGAGCAGAACATTTTGCCAGAGTGGCACAAAGGGTTCAACTCTAACGCCTGCAGCAGAAAGAAGTAGAGCACAGCAGCCAGATCCAAACAACACCCACCTGGAGGAATCTGAACTTCATAGATCCGGACCTCGTGCTAAGGAAATAACTCTATCTAAGCTCCGCACCAAAGGTCAGAAGACAG